GGGAAGTGTAGGTGGGTGTGCTAGGGGTTGTCCCCTGGGTGTCTCCTTCCTTCATTTAGCTATGAGTCTGAGGTATTTTTCAGAGCCAGAACTATGGGGAGTAAACTTTGTCCTGAAGCCAGTTCATTAATTTTGGCTTCCTTCTTGGTGTGGAGCTTCTGTCTATTCCCTGGGCTCATTATGAGCTGGTTGAGTGTCCTGAGACATCTGTAACTAGGGGTGTAAACTTGGGACATGAGCTCATCATCAGTTCTGTAAGAATTAGAACTACTTGGGCTGGCCTGCGGCTCACTTGGGAGAGTGTGGTGCTGATAACACCAAGGGTTAAGATCCCCTTACCGGTCATCTTTTTTTTTTTTAAAAAGAGAAAGGAAGAAAGAAAGAAATAGAACTACTTGGATGGTTAGTTCTATACATGTTCATATGGAGCCCTGAAGTTGGGAAGAGCACCTGTAGGGAGACTTCCCCAGGCTGCCACTTGCTCACCATTGCCCTGAGGAGTGGATTCGCAGACTGCAGTGGAAGGTGAACTGTGGGAGCTAAAGGGGGGTGGTAGGTGCTAAGGAGGGACCTGACAGAGGAGAGACTGAAGTTGACTGGGAATTGGGAGGAGCTGATCTGACTTCAGGCTTCAGCCTGGAGAGAGTCAGGTTGGATAAAGAGACACCTTCCTGCTGCCAACAGACAAAGGCTGTCAGCATGGGAAACCAGGAAGGAGGTAATCTTAGTTTCCTAGGGCAAAGTTACTATCATTGTCCGTTCATTCTCCAGGCTCTGGACCAAGTTCCGGAGTTGGCAGGCAGAGCTGTGGGCCCTTGCCACACATGTGCCCACTTCACTCTGGTGTCTGTGATTGTGTTCCCTGCAGATCTCGGATCCTACCTCCCTGTGCTGCACTCTGGCTCCCTTTGCTGACATGTCTATAACTTGCTATGCCCTGTGCTTTTCCCTATCTGCTTCCACCATCTTCTGACTGTAGACAGCTTTCTCGTGGCTACCAAGATGAGAATAGAGATATGTACCCAGGTTGCTCTAAACTGGAGTGCAGTGAACCTATCTCCCCACCAGAATCATCTGGAGAGCTTTTAAAAAAACCATGTACATCACCACAGCTTCTTACCAAAAAAGAAAAAAAAGTGTATGATGGGGTCTCACTCAGACCTAGTGAACCAGACCCCATGGGGTCAGACAAAGTTATATGCATTTTTTAAAACATTTTCCCAGATTCCCCAGAGGCATAAGCATGACTGAGAACCACAGTCATGACTGTAGGACCCCAAGTATCTCTCTTGCTTCTTTCTTTCTGTTCATAAATATCCTCCTATCACAAACTGTTTTAATATTCTTTTTCTCTCTTTTACACTCTTTCCAGTTCTATTAGGAGATATTTTTTTAAAGTCCTATTTAATTTGATTTTTAATTGACAAATAATAACTGTATATATTTATGGGGTACAATGTGATTTTATGA